TGGATTAATCCCTTATAGCACCAGAGTCCTAATTAAATGGTTCAAAGGTTCAACTTGTTTCCTACCAAAACCACCCTTTAATATCTCAATAGGAATTAAATTTCACAGAAGTTGCAGAGGAGCTTTGAAATCATGGCATGTGGTTTGGTGAGGGTTGGGATCATTTACTTAAGAAAGAAGGAAACAACAGAAGCAACAACAAAAGACTGTTGAAGAAGATTTTTTTTTTAACAATTATTGTACTTATTTGGAAGACAGAGTTATAGAGAGGAAGAGACAGAGAGAAGTCTTCCATCCATTGGTTCATTCCCCCAAAATGGCTACAATGGCTGGGTCTGGGTCAAGCCAAAGTCAGAAGCCAGGTGCTTCTTCTGAGTCTTCCACATGGCTCCAGGGGTGCAAGCACTTGGGTGACCCAGCCTCTGCTTTCCCAGGCATATCAGCAGGGCGCTGTATTGGAAGCACACGAGCTGGGACTCCAAGCAGCACCCTTATGGGATGCTGTTGCTCCAGGCGGCGTTTAACCCGCTATGCTGCAACAATTTTTATTTTCTCTATATATTAATATCTACATGGGAAAAATGTGAGATTTGTCTTTTTGTGTCTGACTTACTTCACTGAGCATAATGATCTCCATTTTATACATTTTCTTGCAAATGTCAGAATTTCATTTTTAGGCTGATATTCCAGAGGCCATGTTGATTTCTTCAACATCCCCTGGCCAATTTTTGGAGCGCCCTGCAGATGATATACTAGAGATGAGACAAAGAAATATTAATATTGCATTTTTAATTTATGTTAAGTGATTCCTCATAGAAGAAAATTTTGCTTACTTTTCCTAAATTTACTTTTGAATTTCCCATGAAAACATCTGTAAATGCCTCTGGATGTCTTCTAGATTCTCATTCATTCACTTGCCTGTCAAAAATTTATATCAATTTCAGCCAAATATTACTGGATAATAGAATTGTTCCTGAATTCCATCTTGTGCCAAGAGAAACTCTATGAATTAGCTAATACAATTGTATCTATCTTGATTAACACTTTGTCAAAGGAGACAAGTTAACATGAAAGCATAAGATGTGGTCTCCACATAGACTAAGTCATATACTGGATTTACTAAGTTAGTTGTCTGGGAACATTAGCACATGTCTGGTTAAAAGTTGAAAATTGGTCTTAACTTGCCAGCTGGAATTTAGTTTGTATTAGCTGTAACTAAATAGCATGTGAAGAAATTGTGTTGGATTTTATCCCATCCACTGTTGACAAACAGTTGTTGTTGGTATGAATTATTAAATAAAATATAGCAAAACTGAGACAGTGTGGAAATAAGGGGTATATTAGTTTTGGTAGTGATTTCTTGGGTATAAATATCAAAATAACAGGTGACAATAGCAAAACACACAAGTGGAGTTATATCAAACTAAAAGTTTCCATACAACAGATGAAACAATCAACAAAAGGAATGGGAGAATACACAAAGGATGTATTTGATAAGACAACAGTTTCAAAAATGTATGAGCAATTCCAATAAATCAATAGTAAAAAAATAAAATACCCTATTAAAACATGAGAAAAGTACTTCGACAGTTATTTCTCTAAAGCTGAAGTGCAAATTTTCAACATCATTAATCACCAGGGAAATGTATGTGAAAACTGTAAAACCTCAAACCTGTAATCACTATTAGGTATGTGTGTTGGTGATGATGTTGAAAAATTTGAATTCTTGTACATAATTGGTGGGAATGTAAAATTATTCTTCCATTATGGAAAATGATGCTTATTTAAAATATTAAAAATATTTTCATATGATTCAGTAACCTAACTTCTGGGTACATATCCAAATAATTTAAATTTGGATTTTGAAAGGTTATCTGCAAACTCATGTTCATTGTAGCCTTAGTCACAGTAGTCATGAAGTATAAACAACTTAAATGTCCATTGATAGTTGAATGACTAATAAGAATATAGAGTAAACTTAACAATGGAATATTATTCAGCATTATAAAAGTAGCATATCTGAAAGGGTAGAAATAAAAATCAGATCAATGTAGGAAAATTTTATGTTCATTTTTCACACAAACAACAACTGAAGAAATAAAAAAAACATAAACCAAACATGGTAAGAAGCTTAACACAACATATACCATACAGTATATTTATCTATTATTTTAAGATTTATTTTACTTATTTTCTTGAAAGACGCAGTTATAGAGAGATCTTGAGAGAGGTCATCCATCTGCTGGTTCATTCCCCTACTGGCTACAGTGGCCAGTGCAGAGCTGATCAAATGCAGGAGCCAGGCTTTCTTCCAGGTCTCTAACATGGGTGCAGGGGCCCAAGGACTTGGGCCATGCTCCGCTGATTTTTTAGGAGTATTAGCTGGGAGCTCCATTGGAAGTAGAGCAGCAGGGAATTGAAACAGTGTCTGTACTGGATGCCGGCACTGCAACCTGGAACTTTAACCTGCTGTGCCACTGTGCTGGCCCCTACTGTACAGTATATCAAACATGATGGAGGTGGGACTATGTTGACCTTTGTGATTGGCTATAAAATAATAAAACTCTTTTAGAGCAAGGGAAGCTGTTTAAGCAGATTTGTCACAATTGGTTTAATTTCATTGAATCGTGTCCAAGGATGTTAAGCTTACATTTTATGTTTCATTTATGATTAATGTATCACAGAAATAGGACTGATTTACTTTTTGATTACAAGACCATGTGTGGATGGCATTGACGTTTATGTAAACTGTGGCTTCCAATCTACTTTTATTTTAAAAATATGTAATCTTTTGAAATTAGGAATTTGGCTTTATTCATTGACTGTTCAATCTTAGCACTGAAGATAATGAAATACAGTGTTACTCAATATATTGTATGGATGAATGTACGATTGATTTCATATCTTGAGGATATACACTAAAATTCACAATATCAATTTTTAAAGATTTATTTATTTGTTTGAAAGCAGAGTTACAGAGAGGCAGAGCAGAGAGAGAGGGAGGGGGAGAGAGAGAAAAGAGAAGGAGAGAGATCTTCCATCTACTGGTTCACTCCTCATTTAGCCTCAATAGCTGAAGCTGCACTGATCAGAAGCCAGGAGCTTCTTCTGGGTCTCCCATGTGGATGCAGGGGCCCATGCCTTTGGGTCATCTCGCAGTGCTTTCCCAGGCCATAGCAGAGAACTGGAACAGAAGTGGAGCAGCTGGGACTTGTACCGGTGCCCATATGAGATGCTGGCACTGCAGGCAGCAGCTTTACCCCACAATAAGAACTTTTAAGAATGCTTTACTAATTTTATTAAAAGGAAAACATAATTTTATGTTTTTTTTCAAGACTGCTCTTTTAGTTTGTATGTTAAAAATGATTAGATTTTAACATCTTAATAAGAGAAAACTGCTTGGGGCTTTAAATAATAATTTAGCAAATTATATTTAAAGTAAGGAGAATTATTGATACCTACTGGGCTGAAAGCAAGCGTCTGTGATTATTGAGTACATTTTTAATAGTGTAGACATTTCAGTGAGCTGTGAACAGATATCTTATTCCCTTGCTTGAATTTTCAGTTAAAATATTGACTTGCCAGTGAAATCTGAATTCTAAATAAGCAATAAATATCATAGCAACAATTGCTGTTGCTCTGTTATTCAAATTTAACTGGGTGTCCTTTTGCATTTGCAAAATGTATGTACCTCGACAATCCTTTGTTCTAACTACATATGTATATTATGTAAACAGCTTTGTCACCCAATTGTTCAATAATATCAATTTTATTTTACCAAATCTGTAGAAAAATTTGACCCTAATTTTACCTTGATGATATTCTTTATTATAGTTTCTCTTCAGTTCACCTGTACTATTACATTTTATTCATAATTTTATATGCAAACCTTTAGTCTCCTTTTGTTTTCTATGACATTTACAGAGTCACCCCATTGATTTCTTCATTAATCAAACATGGTTGAGTTTGACTTGTGCCTATGCCTCCCTGACATAATTCAGATTTTTCAAAGTCTTTGGTAGAAATGGGACCTGGAAAGTGATAATTTAGAAATTTTAACTAGTAAGATTAGAGTTCAAGAACCACCTTAAGTTTAAAAGTAAGAAATTATTGTGGGCATAGTATCATGTGATAGGGTAGCAGGTCAGACCCTGCCTGCCCATGGTAAAACTGGAAAGAATTGGCCCAGCAATAATTACAGTGACCCCATTCTTTTTGCTTTGATCTTCTCCACCACGTATGTGTACGCTTCTAGTGATTCTATAGTTTTACATAAGAAAAACTGGAGATACAGATCAGGCTCCCTGTACTGAGAAAAAAGGTAAAAAGTTGGAACAGGTTACAGAGTACAACTGGTGTGGCAAAGTGAGCATATCAAACACACATCCTTTAACTATTTTTAATTATTGTTGAATTTACTGTTTTTCTGCTGCTTTGTTTCTGTTTCACAGTCTGTGAGCTGAAAGTCCAAGATCAAGATGCTAACATGGTAAGGATCCGGTGAAGGCTTTCGTTTTGGCTTGCAGATGGTAAATTTCCTGAAGTGTTCTCATAGGGCTAAGAGAGAGAGCTTCAGTCTCTGTTCGTCTTATAAGGTGCCTCATCCTAATGACTTTATCTAAAATAAATTAGCTTCCACTGGCTTCATCATCAAATATCATCCCATTAGGGTCTTGAACTTTAACATACATGTTCAGGGAGGACATATACAATAATCATGAAAATAATTTACTTTCTCTCTTGTTAGAATAAAATATTCAAGCACAGTTACTTTTCTAGGGTGCCTGTTCATTATAATGATTTTTAGAAAAATTTATCAAGTGTAATATGTTGGCAAATTAATTCTTTCAGGTTAAATTCATTGCCAGTATATATATATATATATATATATATACACACACTGTGTGTGTGTGTGTATCTGTGTGTGTATACATTCAATAGTATTATACCATATGTGAACAATGATGATACATCCACATTTCCAATTTTAAGCTTTCTTTATTCTTTTCAATATATCTGTGGGCTTCTAGAAATAAAGACTTTCTGGATAAAGGTTACTTATTAAATGAATATTTTATTAATCATAGTTCACAAACATCACTAGCAATTTATTGCGACTTAATCTGACTTTAACTTTACAAGAAAATAGATGATAATTGATAGCTGATAGATAGATAGATATTTACAAGACTGTTGTTTGAAATGTATCCAGATAGTCATTCAGCAATGAAGCAATAAGTCCCTGGTAAAATGTCATCTAGAATAGTAAAGAAATGATAATGCTGAGTGTCATCTGTAGATATCTAGTATACACAAAGTTAGACTTTATTCAGTTTTAGAGGAATGAAGTGCAGGAATAAAGGGTTCTGCTGGTGGCTCACAAATTGACAAAAATATATTTATATGCTGCAGTGATCTTGTTCGTATATATTCTTTCCTGAAGAACTGTGATAAAATAGAATAAACAACAACATGGATAAGAAAATGTCAGGAATGAAAGTTTACCACTATTTTTTCTTAAAAAAAGGCTAATGATTCCCCATGAAATCTTGAATAGTAAAATAAGTTATATACATATATAAGTAACTTTATATACATAAAAGCTTATACATATAAATTTCCCAGATCTTCATTTAAATATATATTTATTTAAATATTTACTTAAAGATACTTTATACTGTATTTTTCAATTGTGTGTTTGAGGGTTAGACACACACACACACACTCACACAGAGAAGGAAAGACAGAAAGAGAAATAGAGAGAATAATGGAGAGAGAGAAAACTCCTATACCCTGCTTCATTCTCCGGATGTGTGGAAGCTGGGCCAGTTTCCAAAGTCAGCAGCTAGGAGTTTAATTCAGGTCTCCTATGTGGTTGGTAAGGACTCAATGGTTTGGAGCATCATCACTGAATCCCAAGACCTGTACCAGAAGAAGGCTTGGGTCAGGAATTGGAGCGAGGCATGGACCCCGTTTGATAAAGGGTTTACATTTTTTTTGGAAGCTTAATATATTCGAGTGCCCAAGTATGTGATGAATTTAAAATTAGATTACATTAAAAGTTGTATTACACTGAGTAAATCCCATGTGCTCTCCTATGATGACCTGCTTGCTGTAACAAACACAAGTTCAGTAACAATCATACATCCATATAATTGATTATGTATATGATTATTGTATTTCCCAGTTAAAATAACTTATTTTTGTTTTCATGAGACATTTTAGAATCAAAGCTGTCACCAATATCTGTATCCAGTTTTACACACACAGAAATTACACTGTTCACACACCAATGAGAAATATTCCAGACTCCAGAGACATGAGAAGAAAGCAAATTGCTTAAGCTTCCTTTTTTAATCAAATAATTGCTATATTAAATAGAACCTACTACATACATGGAAGAATCAATTCTTCTTAAAATCGAATTGGGTCTTTCAGGAGTACAAGTATCATTATGCTTGATTTTCTTATCTGGACCTTTTTTCTCTTTCAAAGAGGATCTTAGTGGGAAAATCAATTTGTGTAGTATGCTTGGGAATTTGAAAAAAAAGCCTTAACCTTAAATTAATGATCCATTCAGAGAAGTGAGAAAATAATGTGCATTTGAAATTAGACTAATTTTACGTTATAGATCATTACCTCTTCCTAGATTAGGTAGCTCAGCATGATTGCCTGTTTTAGGTTGAAATGAACATATTTCATTCTAAATCCATAAGCTTTCTTCTTGCATCACAATGTTGCTTGGCAATTCAGTCTTCAGTAATTTCTTGGCTTTGATGAAGATATATTAGAAAGAAAATACAGAAAAAAATAAGTAGGAATTATTTCTATGCATGATTTATTTAAGGTTTGATACTTAATTTGAAATCGTTAATATTAATATATCTCTGTTAAATTGTAGAACTGCAATGGTGAAACAGTTAATTCAGATTAATTCATTTAAGCTCATTCATTTCAATTCCTTCACTCTTCAAAAACGTGTTATTTAAAGTCTTTATATGTTCATTGGTTAATAGTTTTAAGTTGCAGTACAGGGCTTGATTGTAAAATAAGACTAGGTGAGTGGAGTAAATTTCTGTCTTATAATCACAAAAACAGTTTCCCTAACCAAGGCATTATGCATTCAACATAGGCTTTAACTTTGATAACAAACCTGTAGTCATGTTCATACATATTTAGTAGATGGCATATAATGATTTAAGTTATTAAAAGATCCAACTTTATGTCTTCACAAAACAGTAATAATCTTAGAGCTTCATGTCAGGGAATAGTCCGCGGCGGTATCGCTAGGCGGAGGTTTTAACTTTCGGTTTTGACCGGGGGTTTCCTAAGGGCGGGGCTCTCCGGGGGGTGGAGGAATCAAGGTCGCCAGGACCCCCGCAGTGAGTCTGCCTGCCTGCCTGCTGTGTGACACCTCACCTGATTGGCCGAAGGACGCGTGCCCTTCACGTGAACAGAGACCGGATTGGTGTGCCTGATGCATGGACTCTAGCTTGCTCCTGATTGGTCGCATTTTGAATATAAGCCACGGGTGTAAGGAGGAAGCTCTCTCTCTCTCCTCTCCTTTCCTCCTTCCTCTCTACCTCTGTCACGTTGAGTCTACTGACTTTTTACTACTGGGTTGAGTCTGCTGGCCAGAATCCCCGAGACGCCCGTGGCAGCTTCATTCATATTACATATTAACAGAGTAAGATTCATTATCTGAGAAGGTTGTTTCACCTTGTTCTATTTGGAATAGAAATTATGCAATATAAAGAATAATCAAGAACAAATTATTCTAAAATAATCTGAAATATTTTTTGATAATTTGTATTTACAAATTTTCTACAGAATTGCCTTCCAACAATAATTATTGAATATTCAGCAACCCTTTATACTCAAATTAAGATGGCATTGATAATGGAAGTCTTCCGGCCAGCACCACAGAGCACTAGGCTAATCCTCCATCTGCGGTGCCGGCACCCCAGCTTGTAGTCCTGGTTGGGGGAGCCTGATTCTGTCCCAGTTGCTGCTCTTCCAGTACAGCTCTCTGCTGTGGCCCAAGAAAGCAATGGAAGATGGCCCAAGGGCTTGGGCTCTGCACCCACATGGGAGACCACGAGGAAGCACCTGGCTCCTGGTTTCAGATCAGTGCAGCGCACCAGCCTTGGCGGCCACTTTGGGGGTGAACCAATGCAAAAGGAAGACTTTTCTCTCTCTCTCTCACTGTCGAACTCTGCCTGTCCAAAAAAAAAAAAAAAAGGAAGTCTTCCATTTTGTAGCCAGTGGTCTGACGTTTTTGAAAATCAAAATTCATCCCCAGGAGTTTTATTATAAGAATTGGCTCTTGTAATGATGGAAGCTGAGAGGCCCAATGATATTTGTTTTGCAAACTGGAAGAATGGGAAATCCAGTAACATAATTCAGTGCAAGTTTGAATCCCTGATAACCAGAAACTCAAGATGTCCAGTGGCAGAAGATAATGTCCCTGTAGGGAGAATTCAGCCTTTCAACAGAATTTGTTTAGAAGGACCCAAAACTATGACTGTGATCTTCTCTCAGTATGCTCGTTTAAGTACTAATCAATTTTAGCAATACATTCAAATGACACATCCAGAAATGTTTTACCAGTTAACCAAACATCAGTTGACACATAAAATTACCAACCACAATATACATATGTTCTTTCTATTCTAGTAATCTCTTTCTGTATATGCCAATATCACATCATTTTAATTATTCTTCCTTTAAAAGTGGTCATTAGGGGCCAGCCTTGCAGCACAGTGCACTGCTAGCACTGTTGGCATCTGATATGTAGTCCCAGCTATTCCTCTTCCTGTCCAACTTCCAGTTAATGCTCCTGGGAAAGCAGCAGAAGATGGTCCAGTATTTGGGTTGCTGCCACTCACATAGAAAACCCAAATGCAGTTCAGGCTCCCAGCTGTGGGCTGAATCTTTATCTGCCTTTCTGCCCATTTTTGGGGAGTGAACCTATATATATTCCTGCACGTAATAATAGATTTATGGCATATGGTATGATGATATTGTGAGTTGCTATTTGAAAATTTATGTTTTATAATTTACTGATTATTAATATTGATTTTAAATTATACTATCCTTCTGGAGATAAATATATGAAGAAAACACAAGACTATAAGATTATACTAAGGTACGAGCAGCAACTGGATACTTACAGGAAGTACCATTTTCTTGTTCATTGTTGTGGTCTGAATGTTTCAGTGTCCACAAAATTCATATGTGGGCATTTAAGCCCCAATGCAATGATATGAGGAAATGGGGTCATGAGAGCAGAACCTTTGTGGATGTGATTACTGATCTTTTAGGGCACTTAGGAGAGCAAAGATCTTCCCTTAAACCATGTAAGGACAAAATAAGAAGTGAGCCTCAAAATACATTGCATCTCCCAGCACTTTGATTGTGGGCTTTTCATCCTCAGAACTATGCTAAACAAATTTCTGGTTTTTTTTTATGGGCTACTTAGTTTGTAGTATTTGTTATACAGTCCGATAGACAAATACATCCATCTTGCTTAATTACAATGTTTTCTGATGACAATTTAGACTCATGACATAATGAGATCTTGTAAATCACACAGTAGATCACCCAGAAGCATTAAAGAAAGAACTGACAACTCCTTTTAGGGAAATTTCTTACCAAGCTCTTGATAGAATTTCTTGGCTTAAAATGTGACTTAATTTGTGTACTGTGGTAAATATTGACTGTGAAAACAAGTTCAGCATTCTAATTGTTTTCTGTGTTAGTGTTAACTTTATGAGCAACTGAATATAAATTAGACAAATTATTCTTTCAAACTAATTGCCCAGCAATACTTAACTAAGCCATGGTATAATTAAAAAAACTAATTTTTATTTATATCATACTATGTAAGCACATTCTCCAAACAGTGCATTCATTAAATTATTTGTTATTCATTCATTACCATTAATCCATTCATTTGTATTGCCATAACTTTCATATTTGTCTTAAAAATGAACCGCTTAGTATTAATCTTGGTTTATCTACTAAAAAGTAAAATTAAGTATTAGATTAAATATTATCTTCACAAACTATTATAATGATTTTTGGGCGATTTTCATTTAATTTTTTAAAGATTTACTTAGTTATTTGAAAGTCAGTTACAGAAAGAAAGAGAGAAACAGAGACCAAAGAAAGAAAGAGAGCAAGAGGGTGAGTGAGACAGAGAGACAGAGAGAGAGATTGTGCATCCATTGGTTCACTCCCTAAATGACTGCAGCAGCTTGGGGTAGGCCAAGCTGAAGCCAGGCACAAGGAGCTTCATCTGAGACTCCCACATGGGTGATAAGAGCCCATGTACTTTGACCATTTTTCCTTGTCTTCCCAGGTCATTAGCAGAAAGCTGGATCAGAATTAGAGTACACTGGTCATGAACTGGCACCCATATCAAATGCTAGTGTCTCGGGCAATGGTTTTACCTGCTATGCCACAATACTGGCCTCCTCTATATTTTAAAAATGTATTCAAAGGATTTAGGTTGCCTGAATTGATTTAAAAAAAAAAATCGAGAGTCATCTATATGATGGAACAAGACACTCACTTTTCAAGTAAATGTACACATAGACTGAAAGTGAATTTTTGGAAAAAGGCATACCAGGTAAGTAGAAAATAAAATCAAGCATGGAAACTGTACTCAAATGCCTGAAACAGTCAAGATTGCTTCAGTCATATGGACAAAGTCCTTGGGTCCCTGCACCCATATGGAGACCCAGAAGAAGCTCCTGGCTCCTGGCTTTGGATCGGCTCAGCTCCAGCCATTGCGGCCATCTGGGGAGTGAACCAATGGATGGAAGATTCTCATTCTCTCTCTCTCTCTCTCTCCTCTTTCTCTCTCTGCCTCTCCTCTCTCTGTGTAACTGTGACTTTCAAGTAAAACAAATCAATCTTTAAAAAAGAATTGCTTCAAAAAAATTGCTTCAGTCAATTCTATACGTCCAAAACTCAATCTCAGTCTTCCACGTGGGTACCAGATATCCAAGTACTTGAACCATCATCTAATTCCTCCCAGGGTGCACAATAACAAGAAGCTAGAATTAGAAGTGGAACTGAACCAGAATTCAGATACTCCAAAATAGGTCAACGTTTTCCAGAAAACCACTCACCGCTCTCACAAATGTCCATTCTTTATTCCTTTTTTCAATATTTATCTTTTTGTTGAAGGGGGTGTGGTGGTTGCTGTTCTCTGTTTCACTCTCCAAATGGCCGAAACATCTGGGGGTTGGCCAGGAACTCATATGGGTTGTCCATGTGGGCAAAAAGAAGTCAAATACTGATCCTTCATCTACTGCTTCCCTGTTGCATTATTAAGAATGTGGATCAGAAGTGCAGTAGCTGGGACTTACAGTGCCCCTGTCCAGTATTTTTAAATTTGATTTCATTAATGACCATTCTTCCCAATTTTCAGACAAATGCTACATGATCTGTATCTGTTGGGAACAATTATTTTTAAGTTGTTTTATTGAAAAGCATAATTTGCAAACAGTACACAAACTTTGTGTTTACAGACAGACAGGCCCACTGTATGCAATCAGCACTCAAATCAAGACACAGAATATTTTAATCCCCGAATACATTGCTTCCAAGTCAAGCTTGACTCCATGAGTAACCATACCCTGATTTTAATCATATAAATACATTTATTATCTCTTTTCTTGATTGAAGGCTAATCTTTGGGGAGTCCATCTGCAATTTTAGAAAGATGTGACCAGAATACTCTGGCAATACAATAATGCTGGACTGGAGTTTCCACTCCCATCTATCTTTCCAGATCCTCCTGAGAATAATAATGTTTTGAACTGCAGCCTGGAAGTTCTTATTGCTAGATAGAAAGCAACAAAAACAAAGGAAAAAGAGAACTTTATGCTTTATTATATGTAGGAAAATGGGTAAAGAAAGCTGATATCATTGTAATTTTTTTTAAAAAAAATCTGCATAGGCAGGACATTGATTTCTTGTTTGTCTTAAATTGATGAGATAACTGAATTCACAAAACAGACATTTATCAAAAAACAGAGACAAAGGCAAACATTCATAGGCAGCTATAGGGTATAACTATTTGATTTCCTAAGCAGTTGATTGTCAGGCCCTGTATGAGCCAGAAAGGACAATAAACTAGCAATTATGAAAAATTGCTGGAGGATGAAACAAACTAGTAAGAGTGGGTTGGTCCTCAGAGTTACAGTAATGTGAGGATTACTTTCCTTTCACAAGTTATTCCTCTAAAATTCCACATGGAAAATTGGAAAGAATTTAGAGAAATAACTTACACTGTACCAATGCAGGGAATCTAAGAATACCCACCACAAAATCTCTTTCATGTCTTTACATCCATAGCAGGAAGGAGACAACCAGGAAGCCCTGGCGATAGATT